GTCTTCCTCGACGCCCAGGTGGCGGGTCGGAAGCTGCAAGCGCGTTCTTGGCGGGACACGACGTCGGCGGGCTTCGGAGGGCGTCGTCTCGGTCAACGGCTTGGTAACTTTATGGAGGCGAACCAGCCATGGCGGCTTGGGAGTCGGGCTTGGCACGGGGCCACACGTGAAGGCGTCGACCGTCGTAGCGAGCCAGCCGAGCCACTTGTCGTTCGGTATCACGTGTGGGCCGAGGTCACGGCCTCAGCACTTTGCCGTCACCGCGTGGATGAGGCGTTGAGTTCTTGTCGCGAGCGTCTCCGTCGGGGCGGCGGCGAGCATCAAGGTGTGGACGTGCTGGACTTGAGTGATCCCGATCTTGGCCATCGTCCGGGCTTACCGAGTGTGCCAACTTGTGGTCTTTACTATGTAACTACAGCTATCTACTGGGAGAAACTGGTTGGACCAAAGCGGTTGTTCGTGGACCAGCGGCGACGGCGTAGGATTTCGTTGTGAATACCATCCTTGGCCACTACCCAGTGTCATATTATTGTTCGTGCAGCAGCAGTCGGCGAATACAAATGGTAGCACAAGAACAAGGTATCAGGTAGTAGATTAGCGACGCCAGAAGGCCGTGGTACGCTTGCGCCGTAGACGCGGAGGCTATACACAGCTAAAAGACGTGGATATCTCGATCGTCGACTCGAGAGTCGTGTGAAACAAACGAGCTAGACATGGAAAAAGTGCAAATACTATGAAGCAATTCCCTGCGTCATGGCGCTCATCCTGATGATCGTTGCCGTCACGGCCTGCTCAATCCCTAGCATTTCTGTGTGGCTCGGGGATTAGGATGGCATGTGTCCTGCCGCCGTCAGTAGAGCGTGTCGACGTTGGCCGCGAGCTGTCGGCCACGAAGGACGATATGGTGATGAAAAGGAGTGCAGCACACGACGGCCAGCGCGAGCAGCCGCATGCAGGCTCGATGTTGAGACACGATTCGAGCATTGACGGGATGTACGTACACGTAGAGTGTGGCGGCAGCGACCGGAGCGTGGACGCGCCGTCGATCGGATGTGACCGTAGCGCGAACCGTTCTGGACGCGCAAGCGCATGACGTCGCGCGGCCATGATGCTAGGCATATCGCGCCATCGCTCGCAGCGTTGTCGCAGGTCCTGGGAGCTTGGAGGCGGTAACGAAAATGAGGGAGACCGACGAGGAACGCTGCATTGCGACCGAGCGACACCTCATGATGGCTTGTACGTAGAGAATGCTGATGGATTCTCCTAGAGTACAATGCAGCAGCGTCAGTGGTGCCCAAGGAGCCTCGGCATCGTCTTTCTGGCGTCGGCTGTCGTTATTCCTGGTGTTCGCCATTTACAACCATAAATAGCCATATTTTGGCCAACACAGGCCGCCGCGCCGGCGGATCGACCATAATGAAGTTTGAAAATGAAATCGCCCATGCTTGCCAGAGTGCTAGACCGCACTTTGGGGAGTCCAGAACGCTATGTGAAGTCGCCACGCGAGCTCTGTAGCGAGAGAAAATGACAGCGGCGAACAATTTTGTGATATAGTGTGTTTTTCACAATACCGAAATACTGTACGGGATACAAGGCCTCATCACACAGCGGTATCGCGCGCACTTTGCTTTCCTCGGCCACATGCAACACGCTCTTTAACATGAACCAAAAGAGACGGCGTCCTCGGTTTCCGCGATTCCGACGCATTTTCAACCGAAATTGCATGTCGAATTTCCTGAAAACCGACGCTCGGCAGTTCGAGTTTGGTGTGAGTGCCCAAGCAACGACGGCGACCAACAAGCTGGTCGCACACTGGGTCGAGACCCATCGCCAACTGTGGCAGCCAGTTTTACGGTCCTTGGAGCTTTGGAACCCCGCAATGTCACGTGGAGTATTTGGGCAATTCTACCACCCCACCTCGAAAAATGGAAAATGGATTTGCGCGTGATTGCGCAACGTGCAGCGTCGGAAACAACGTGTACGTCATTCAAGAAGGGTGTGGAGAGGTATACCCGGCTGCTACGTGGCGCTGGCGCGTCTGTGGGCTGCTACTCGTCGTTGTGCTGCATGGTGCTCACACTATATTTAAGACGAGGTCGGCCAGGTCTTGTGATTGGCTAGAATAAATCAAGGCTGGAGCTCCATCTCAACAGAGCATGGGCTGCGGATCCGCAAGCACGAGAAGTGGTCGCGCGCGAACATCGAGAACGTCCGGCGCGACGAGCGCGCTGTCTTCCACGAGAAGCACAAGTGGAACCTCGACGGCCGCTTGGGAGCTCAAGAAGATCAAGCCGACGCACTAATGTACTAGTAGCCGCCTTGCGCATGGCTTTCATGGACGACTCGCCGACCCAGCCAACGAGTTGCCAACGGATCAACTTACCAGAAGGAGCGTACAATAACCTGGACGCATGCAACACGACAAGACAGCATCCACATGTGTGTGCGTGCGCTCTGTCCCAAGTCACAACTGCACGCCACGCAATGTCGCTCATCTCTGCACTTGGCCTCTGACGCGGATTGCTCTAAAATTGCAGACCGACGCGTGCCACGAGCCGACCAAGCCGCAGCAGTGTTCCAGACGTATGCGTTGGATGGACGAGGCACGAGCCAGTTGCGCACAGGGTGAGGCGCGCCATCCTCGAGAGAAAATAAGGGGCTTGGCCGTGAAGGATTGGCGACGACCGCCTAATCCAGGAAATGATCAAAAAGTGGAGTGAGTAGCCTGTGGGAGCGGCTCTTCTTCCCACTACCACGTCCATCTTCGAGCCGGCGCTCGATCGAGAGCGGGACAATGAGCGGCCACACGTCTTGCCATCGTGGACGGTCGCGGCGAGAAACAAGACGATCTCACCGTGCTTCAAGGTGCGCTGGCTCGCGACTTGGCCGCTTTCGAGGGCCGAGCACGGCATCGACACGCGGAACTAGCTCAGGCTGCACGAACGCACCTCAACGCCGTCGACGTGCTGCGCCGCGGCGCCACGAGACCCGAGAGGAGCAATCCAAGTCCATGACGACGATGACGAGGAGGAGACGCAGTACATAATGTCTACACACACAGCCATGAGACTCCCGCTCCTGTGCGTAGAGTAAAGTACGTACGCGAGGCAGAGGTTGGCGCTGGTTTGGCACGACAAGCTCTAGCGGCGGCCGGCGAGACGGCGACGCGCGCCCGTGTTGACCTGGCTGCCCGGTAGCTACGCTCTCATATGACCCGTGCCTAACGCTCGCCGCATGCGCTCAACGAGCATGGTCGAGAGCGTCGTCGAGCGTGCGATCCGCGGCTACAAGCAGGGTAAGAACGTGGTCGATCGAGACGGTACAAAAGCCGCGGCGCGAACGATCGGGTGCAGCGGAGGCGGGCCTTGCGTCGCTAGTTCGGCGCTCGAAGCATCGACCGCAGAGAGCAAGAAATCTCAAGCAGAACGACCCTGACGAGCATGCTACGCCTCACGAGCAACGCGCAGCCTGCCGCCCACGAGCCTTTTCGGCATTTGTCGAAGGAACCTCCACCAAAGCATATCTCTCCAGACGGTGTGATATCAAGTCTCCGAGGTTTTTGGTCTGCCATGTGCGCCGAGGTGTGCAACACGCTTTTTGCGGCGTTGTTCTTGCACCTGGAGTACTACGTCTACACTAATACCTATAGCGCTCGTATGTGTTTAATTGGGTCGTGGACGAAGCTATGAAGAAATCAGGCTGCTGCATGCCCCTTCTCGAGAAAGCCAGCAATAGATCCTCAAGACGGCTCTCATTCCGCCGTCCCATTCCCGATCAAGTTCGTAACGGCTGACCTAATAGTAGGTAGCGTGCAGTCGTCCGCAGACCAGCCACATTGACGCTTCACTTCTTTCGCAACGCGCTAAGGACCATGGCCTCGCATGTACTGGGGTCACCGACCTGTCGCTGCCATAATCACGTACCAAGATGGTCTG